CGGAGGTTAACTTCAGCCACATTTGCTTGCTGTTAGGTTGGGCCCTGTGGTCTCTCTCCGTGTGTGTGTGTGTGTGTGTGTGTGTGTGTGTGTGTACCTACAATCCGCTCTCTCCCATAGGCTACTCCAACGACCACAACGGAGGGCACTACCCACCCAGACCCCGGCCTCCTGCAGGTGTGGCCTGTGCACGTGTGGGGGGTGGGGCTGTCTGAGACCCTGGCTCCGGGGTGGGAAACCCAGCCCCGATGGGACGCAGGCAGTCAGGGGCAGGTCGGGGCTGTGGACACAAGAAGGTGGGGAGAGGCCCTGGGGGACTGTGTCCGAGAAGTTTACAGGGGGTCTAAAAGGGGTGGTCCTTCTGATGGCTGGCTGGGGAGATAGATAATGGATACATAGGAAGACAGGTAATACAAAGATAGGTAGGTAGATAGATGATGAGTAAGCAGGCAGAGATACTTGATAGAGGATAGGTAAATAGATGGAAAGAGAGATGCGGTGGGTAGATAGATTTATTGAAAATGGATGAATACTAGATAGGTAGATGTATGGGTTGATAGATGATACATAGATAGATAGAGGTAGCTAGAAAATGGTAGATGGATAGTTAGATAAGGTAGATAGATGGTTTATTGAAGGTCGGTAGATACCATAGGTAGAAGATAGATCACTAGGTGATAAGGTAGATAGATGGAAGATGAATAGATGGATGGATTGACAGATGAATCCTTAGCTACATCAATCATAGATTGGTTAGATAGTAAATGGAGGATGGAGGCATAGATAGATAGATAGATAGATAGATAGATAGATAGATAGATAGATAGACAGATGATAGATAGAAAGATAGATAGATAGATAGATGATAGATAGATAGATAGATGATTGATAGAAAGATAGATAGATGATAGATAGATAGAAAAATAGATAGATGGTTGATGATGAATATATAGAGGATCAATTAGTTAGAGAATAAATAAGAGGGAGACAGAGAGATAAATAGATGGTAGCTGGATAAATACATCGATGGACAATGGTTAGATATAAGATCAGTTCATTGGATAGATAATAGGTAGGCGATAATACATGAATGGGTGTAAGATTTATTATTTTAATAGTTATGTGGATAGAGAATAGATTAGTTAGATAGTAGATATACATATACACAGATCATAGATAGACAAAAAATAGATAAAGGATGGAGGATGGATAGATAGATAGATAGATAGATAGATAGATAGATAGATAGATAGATATGATGGGTGCTTAGATAAACAGATAGATCGGAGATTAGATAGGTAGGTAGGTAGAGAGAGACAGGCAGAGAGCGATGATAGAGAAATAGATGTCACATAAATATGACTGGTTTGTTAGATAACAGGGTAGTTGCACAGATAGGTGATAGGTACGTATGATCGAATCATTAGATAATAGGTGGGTGCATAGATAGATAGATGAGAGGTGTGAGTGATTCGTTAGAGAATAGGTAGGTGCGCAGATAGATAGATGATGGGCAGGTCGGTGGGTGGGCAGGTGGATGACAGGCAGGTAGGAGGGTGGGCAGGTGGGTGATGATAGGCAGGTAGGAGGGTGGGTGGATCAGCTCACACGCACATCCCGGGGGAGACAGCAGGCTGCCAGCTCTTGGCGCTGTGGCCCTGCTGGGTGAGTTTGCACCACCAGCCCTCGGGTCAGCAGATGGACAAACGCCAACCGTGGGCACCCCCACCCCCACCCCGAGGTCTTCTGATCCTCGTAGTCAGGAAGGGGCATGTCCAGCTCAGAGGCGACCTTTCCCACCAGGAGGATGTGATTGTGGGTTAGGGGCCACCCTCCGGGGGCTTTCTCTTCTGGGGTCCTCCCCCACCCTGGCTGGGGTCCTCTCCTAGCACTGAGCTGTGAGTCTGGCCCCTCAGCCGCCGGGACTC